TTTAAAAATAAAAAAAGATGAGTTTTAAGTTATTAAAAGTATTGTGTCGCTTTCCCTGCAGCCTTTCACTGAGTTGGCAGCTGTGCGCAGCGCAGCGCACATCTGGAGAGGAGCGGGACCTCCACGTCTCCGCTGCGCTCCTTATAGAGAAGGAGGCGGGGATTCCGCGCACAGAACGTGACTGCCACAGTTGTCTTTGCGGAGATCCGTGCCAAACTTGCTCCTGCTCTTTCAAAGCGCCTCGTCTGCCTTTTTCTTTTTTCCGACCCACGGTTTGTCCTCGGGGTTTATTTCACGCAGCGCTCGTGGGAGCCGCTTTCTGGACATTTGAGAGTCGGCAGAAAACTTTGGGTGGGGAGTTAAAAGAGAGAAAAAAAGGGGGGAGAAAGAAAACTACCACCCGGCAGAGAGATACCAACGGCAGCGCGGCTCTACTTCCACCAGCGACAGCTAGAAGAGGAGTGGGAGGAGCCAACAGGTACCAGCGCACACTGTCACTGTCAACATCTGAGCCAGGTGTTCTTTCAACGGGAAATCCTTTCTTTTTTTTACCCTGGAGGGGTCTATGTGCGTCATTTCTGCATAACCTGAGCGGATGTGACATTATATTCTTTTATTATTATTTCTATTCTGAAATGCTCCATATCATCCGGCTGCAGCAGCAGAAAGAAACAACCGTTTAATGTTAAAGCGCTCCTGTTAGTGTAGATGATGCATAGTGTTTTTATAAACATGTTTCTGCTGGTAGATACAGCTGGGATGCACCGCTGAATGTTTACTGACTTATTTGAGGCGATAAAGCTCCTGCTTGGCTCAGACATAAAGAGTTAGAAACCTGTAATGCGCTGCAGGATCGAGCTTAGATAGCAGATTTATTCCCATCCCCACATTTAACAGGCTTCTCCTCTGTTACACGGAGGATTATTAGACCAATTACACCCTGGAGTAATAACTTATTGCTCTTAGGTGCAAATGAATGGGAAGTGAATTTATTCCTGTTGATAACTAAAAGTATTTGAAATGATGATCATGATTTATGGACAGGATGGGAATCCAATGTTCTGTTTTATCAATTCAAACTGTAAAAACAACAAACACAAGTTTACTTATAAAGTTTCTGACAACATGTCAGGATGTTTGTTTCTTCTATTAACTGAATACTTGGCAGGGATGATTTTGCAAGAATGGCTGCATCAATGCAACGTGGCTGAAAGGCTGTAAATGTTGCTCTAATCCAACATTAAGCTCATCTTTAGCTTCCTTATGTCAGGGGAAGGACAATCATGGTGACCCAATGGTCATCAACATACTTCTGACAGCCATAAGGACCAATCAGATGAGGCATCTAATTGGTCCTTATCCAGGGTTTTGATAGATCCTGGTTCATGTCCAACTCTTGGGCTGCAACTAATGATTCTTTTTCAAATCAATGAATCTGTCGATTATCGGATAGCCACATATTCTTTAGTGAAGACTTATTGCTAAATTAAACCAGGTGAAACGAAATATTCCACTTGAGGAGTTCTTTATCTTAAATGCAAAATATTTACATATGCATTGGTATAAGTGTGTCACTCTAAAGGGATATTTTAGTCTCTCCATTTAACAATAAATCGTTTACTATATTAATTGACGATTCTTTCAAAAACCGATTAACCCCCAATTTATCCGATTGTTTCAGCCCTATCCAACGCCTTTACCTTGTAATCCTTATAATCCTTAAGGCCTGCTGTCCTGGACCCCAGTTAATTCACATGGATGGCTAAAGTAGCGCTTTAGCATCTGCGGGGGCTTGTTGATTCATCCATTAGATTCAGTTTTGTTGGATGAGGAAAACATCTCCATGTATGATACCCCAGGATTTTGGAAAATCCTGCTCTAGATTCTGCAAAACGATGTAGTCATGTTAAAGGTTCCCTACCTGTACGAAATAGTCACTAAAAAAATAATGCAACCATTTTTGGCATTAACGTAATAATTTTTAGTTACTTTAACACAAATGTTTTATGTCCCACCCTGCTAACTT